GGTAAGATACCGTGGCAAAGCCGCGCACGGGGGTTAGCACAAAACCAACCAATTAACTTAAAAGAACAAATCAAGGCACGTGTCAGTGTTCTGTCTGCCTCACTTTTGGCTTTGCTTTTGCAAGCGACGTGTCTCAACTTTTAGTGTTCTTATACGATCAAGTGGGAACGTCAAATGGGTGTCGCTCTATATTATTAATGTTGCGTTTTGGACTCCGTCACCGCGGAAACCAATGTCGCGCCTCCACGGTACGGTGTGCCGTGTATGCCCGCGTGCATTCCGCGGCAGAGCCGGAAACAAATTTTAGGGGGCATAAAATGAGACAGGCTCTTTTTAGTTTGAACAAGAAAGTAAAGGTTGTTGACTTAGGAGAAGAATTTTTAATATCAAGCGTCAATCACTTAAATAATTTAATAAAAGATTTTAAATTTGAATCATATGACACTTGATTTTGTAGATTGCTTGGTAATAATATGTATCACTCAATCCATCGGATTGGGTTCAATACCTCCTATTCCCAAAAATTATCCTTAATAAATTTTTTTTTTAAAATCATATGACATGCAGGTAAGGTAAGATAAGAAATAAAAAATAATTACATTTTATTGTGTAATCAAAATAAAAAAAATTTAATATCAAATGATTCATTTTCATTTGATAATAAATATTATGTAATTTAATATAATTTGAATTGTATAATATTTTTTTATAAAACAGTGATTAAAAAATGAGTTAAAATTAGATATAGTGATAAGCATTTGTTAATTGAGATTTTAAAAAATTAAAAAAAAAACTTTAAAATTATAGCATTTTAATAAATTTTTATTTAAAAATATTAAAATAACATATTTTCTAAATCATGAATAAATTTATTTTGATTTTTTATGATATTTTAATAAATTTATATAATTTAAAATATTTTCTCTTAATATTTTTAAAATTTGACTAATAAATATTAATTTTTCAAAATAAATAAAAATAAAAATTAATGACCTAAATTAACAATTTTCGAAGGGTTAGGAAGGCCGGGGACCAGGAGCTCCCCAGCTTCACAAGTGGTCCAGTGCAACCCATCCACCGTACTTCTGACCTTTACATTGCTGATGCATTCTGACCTTTACATTGCTGGAATGCATCGAACCTAAACCTCGATTCTTACGCTAATTAATTAAATAGGATTACGAAAATAATAATCAAATTACACTGATTAAACCTCACGGTGGATCTGAGATTAGGGGAATGTATAAGATTACATTATTCTGTAATTAATGTAACCGCGTAGTTCAAGTTAGCACCGTTCGAAGTGGAAGATGAATATATCTTATATTAATTTTAAAAAGTGAAAAAAAAAATCAAAATATTTTGATGTTAAAAATATTAAAATATTAAATCACAATTATTCAATACGTAGAATATAATGTGAACTCTAGTGTTATCAAACTCATTATATGATTATTATTAGATATTATAATATTAAAAATATTAAAATGTGTTAGTTTTTTCTTCATCTTTAAAAAAATGTAAAAATTAAAATATCATAATATTTTAAATGGTAAGATTTTTTTATAAAATTATTTAAATATTTTTATTAAATTTATTTTGTGTATTAATTTATTAAAAATATTTTTAATTTTTCTCAATCCCTTAATTTTATTCATTACATTCTTCAAAATAAAAATTTATTTACAATCCGAATTCATAAATTATTAGGGACAAAAGGTAAGCAATCAGTAAATGGGTGGGAAATTTACGTTGACAAATTTTGAAGAAAATGTGTTCCTTAAACTCCAATTGCGGCCAAGAAAAGAATGGAAGCCGAAGTGTTTCACCAAAATGAGATTTCCAAGCAACTTCATGGGCAGTGTAGAAATTCAAGTGGAAATTCTTCAAATTACGGCCGAAACATGTGTATGGTCCATAGTTCTTCCGTACTACAGCAAAATAAATGTACTTTTATATTTTTATGAACCAATAAATAAGTCATATTATTCTACGAGTAACAGGTGAAAGTTATTCGAATTTAATTTTGTTATTGGTGTTCACACATATTTACAATTAATTAAATATTCTCTTTGTAAAAAAAAAATCTTATAATAAATATTAGTAAATTAATGCATTTCATAAAACAAAAATAATTAATAATATTATACTTTTAATATTTAAATTTATTAATAAATGCATTTGAGCTGTTGAGTGAAGTGATTCTTATTATGTTGTGAAGATGTGATTCTTTCTTTTTTTTAGGGTTAGATTTAAACCCCCATGATATCTTAATTTTTTTTAAAAATTATTATTAAATAAATATTATTTTATAAATTAAATTTATAATTTAAATTTTAAATCCATCATTTAAGACTATTAATTTTTTTAAATGCACTAATCAATATAAAGGTGCTCCCTTAAATTTATTTAAAGATAAATTAATCATAAAATACATAAAAAAAATGGACTATCAAAAAAATATACATAAAAAATGATACAAAAATATCCTACTATTTATATTAAAGAGAAGAAAAATACATATTAGTCCCTAACTCCAAAAAAATTTTGAAGTTTTAAGTTTAAATTATTTTATATCATTTAATTAAAATTTAATTTAAAATTTAAAAATTTATTTTATTAAATATTGATATT